TAAATCAGAAATGTAAAAAAGGAAATAACTGAAGATGCTTCAGATATTAAAAAGAAAATAACATTTTGAAAGGTTATTACAGAAAATTAAAAAAAAGAAAAAGAAAATAGAGGATGTTATGTATATTATACCAATATATTTAAAAATCAATAAAATAAGAACTTCTCTAAATATATAACTCAATTTGATTCAGGAAGTGATGTCTCTTCGGAAGTCAATTTTCTGTTTATTGTTAATAATGTATACAGATGTGCTAGCTCTTTGTATTCATTTTATGTACAGAAATATTATAAACTCTCTTATTAATTCTAATAATTCATCTGTATATTTTTTTGGATTTTCTATATATACGTTCAGACTATTAGGGAACAGGAAAATTTTGTTTCTTTTTTACAACCATATACATTTTATTTCTTTTTTTTTTGAGACAGAGTCTCACTCCCTTGCCCTGGCTAGAGTGCCATAGCGTCAGCCTAGCTCACAGCAACCTCAAACTCCTGGGCTCAAGCAATCCTTCTGCCTCAGCCTCCCAAGTAGCTGGGACTACAGGCACGTGCCACCATGCTCGGCTAATTTTTTGTATATATATTTTTAGTTGGTCAATTAATTTCTTTCTATTTTTAGTAGAGATAGGGTCTTGCTCAGGCTGGTTTTGAACTCCTGACCTTGAGCAATCCGCCCATCTCGGCATCCCAGAGTGCTAGGATTACAGGCGTGAGCCACCACACCCGGCCTCCATTTTATTCTTGTTCTTTGCCTTGCTGCACTGGCTAGGAGCCCCAGCACAATTTTGAAGAGAAGTGGCAGGAAACTTCATCTTGTTCTCCATCTCAAAAAGAATGCCTTTAATGTTTCATCATTAGGTAATATTTGTGGTAGCTTCTTTTTTTGCTAGATACCCTTTCTTTGTCAAGATAATTCTATTCTATTGCTAGTTTGCTAAGACATTTTATCCTAAATGGATAGTGAATTTGATTTTCAACTTTTTTTTTTTGAAACAGAGTCTCACTATGTTGCCCGGGCTAAAGTGCTGTGGCGTCAGCCTAGCTCACAGCAACCTCAAACTCCTAGGGTTAAGCAATCCTTCTGCCTCAGCCTCCCAAGTAGCTAGGACTACAGGCATGCACCACCATGCTTGGCTAATTTTTTCTATATATTTTTAGTTGGCCAATTAATTTCTTCTATTTTTAGTAGAGACGGGGTCTTGCTCTTGCTCAGGCTGGTTTCAAACTCCTGACCTTGTGCCATCCTCCCACGTTGGTATTTATAACTTTTGAAATGATCATTTGATTTTTCTCCTATAACATGGAAAATTAAATTAATTGATTTTTCTAACATCAAACCAACTTTGAATTCCTGGCATAAATCCAACTAAGTTATACTATGTCATCTTGGATTTTGTTTGTTAATATTTAGTTTAGAATTTCTCCATTTATGTAACTTTCTTTTCTTTTGTTGTTCTTTCAGGATTGTGGTATAAAAGCTATACTAGCTTCTGGTTAATTTATTGCCTTCCATTCCTCAAAACAGGTATTCTGTCTTACTTACCTGGTAGCACATTTTTATAGATATTTTGTCCACCCATCCCTCAATCTGTATATTCTCCACAACCAGCTTACAACATTTCCTTCCTCTATTAGGTCATTAAATATGAAATGTCTGATTTTGAATCAAAAGTTTAATTTATTGTATCTCAAACAAAAAGCAGTACAATTAATCCAAGTATGTGTCGAAACTATCTCCACAGTTTTGACATCTTAACGGTAGCTTGTTTATGCCAGCAGCAAAGAAACCTGGAGAGCAAGTGACAATGAAATTGCAAAAAGGTGTTTTTCACAGCTTGTTGAGAATTGAATGTTTTTTTCTTATAAGAAGTGGTCCAAAGGCTGGAAGAAGTGATAGTCAGTTGGTGTAAGGTCTGGTGAATATGGTGGGTGACAGAGAATTTCCAAGTCCAGTCTCTGTAGTTTGAGCAGCATTGTTTGTGCAACATGTGGTAGAGCATTGTCTTGCAAGAATTGGTCTGTCTCTATTGACCAATCTTGGCTGCTTAATCACAAGTATCCTCATCATTTTGTCCAACTGTTGCAGAAGGCATCCGCTGTAATAGATTGACCAGGTTTCATGAACCTGTAGTGGATAATACCAGCGCAGGACCACCAAACAAACACTATTAGCTTTTTCTTTTTTTGATATATATTTGATTTGGGACTGTGTTTCAGCACTTTATCCAGTTATTGTGCTGAATGCTTGTGATTGTCAAAAAGAATTTATTTCTTTATCACACGTAACAATATGGTGTAGAAATGGGTTTGCCTTTATGTCCTGACAGCAAAGAAAGGCAAACTTCGAGAGATTTCTCTTTAGATGTTTGTTTAATTTATGTAGTACCCATCTATCCAGCTTCTTTACATTGTCGATTTGTTTTAAATGGTCTAATATTGTTGGAATAGTAATGTCAAACCTTGTTGTCAATTTATGCGTAGGTTGAGATGAATTTGCTTCCCCTACGGTTTTCAGTTTATCATTACCCACCTTGGTCTCGGGTTGTCCAGGTGGCTCATTATCAAGATTAAAATGACCAGAACAGAACTTTTAAAATGATCGGTGTACTGTGTGTTCATTAGCCACATCCTTTCCAAACACTTTGTTGATATTTTGATCTGTCTGTGTTGTACTGGGTTTATGATGGAACTCATATTTAAAAATAATACAAATTTTTGACCTATCTATGGTTGTACAAAAACTGTTCTAAAAAATTTGAAAGATAATCACAAGTCAAAACGTGTGTTTGAAAGAATGAGGATGTGCCTTTACAATAAAAATAAAACAAGAGGCCGGGGGCGATGGGTCATGCCTGTAATCCTAGCACTCTGGGAGGCCGAGGCGGGCGGATTGCTCCAGGTCAGGAGTTCGAAACCAGCCTGAGCAAGAGGAGATCCCGTCTCTACTACAAATAGAAAGAAATCAATTGGCTAACTCATATATATATATATATATATATATATATATATATATATATATAAAATTTGCCGGGCATGGGGGTACATGCCTGTAGTCCCAGCTACTCTGCAGGCTGAGGCAGGAGGATCGCTTGAGCCCAGGAGTTTGAGATTGCTGTGAGCTAGGCTGACGCCAAGGCACTCACTCTAGCCTGGGCAACAAAGCGAGACTCTGTCTTAAAAAAATAAATAAATAAAATAAATAAAATAAAATAAAACAAGAAATGTCAAAGTGAAATGTCACAGTTTTTTTTATGCTAAGTATTTTATTGTATGCAGCCACCAGTGTATATAAAACAATTACCCTTGTGAAGCAGAAGTTCATGAAAATTCAGAGAGGTAGATGTTAAGTACTGACAAAAGTAGAAGTTTGCATATTATGGCACACATATTGTTATAACTCTAAGCTTTTGTACAGGCTTCACATTTAGTTGTTTCTTGAATATTCACCAGTTCATAAGAAGTGGTTTGGGAAACCTTTGAAAGATTCATTTTTCCTACAAAAAGGAACAGACTTTCTGGGGTCTGAAGGGATTTGTAATTGAAGATACTCCAGTCAGCAGAGGATGATGTTGAGCATTCTGCAGACAGAATAGTTTCCAGTCTGCAGCTGCCGGGGAAACTTTAACACGGTTGAGCCCGGCTTTCACCCGGAGCTGTTGAACCACTTTCTTCATAGTGTTGACGCTGGAGGAACCAGACATGGCGCACGCCGAAGCCAGGCCAATTCGGGAGTTGGGGGTGGCAGCTCGGGGCCAGAAGACCGAAATGTCACAGATATTAACCGCCAAACTTAGTACTTAAGGAAATCAGACAAGTACTTAATAACCCAATATTTTTTTCTCCTTGCATTGTTCTCTTCTCCTTGGTCTTCTTTGGAAAACTGTTAACTTTCAAGGCAGTAATGTATCATGTGACTTCGGTCAAAATGTTTCTGCCTAGACTGCAATGCCCCACACCTTACCTTTCATGTTGTTTATGACATAGTGGTTAAGGTGGTTCTGGAATAAGACAGCACTGGGTTTAAACTCTTGTGTGTGATCTGAAGAACTTTCTTTGGTTTCTCTACACTTCAGTTTCCTCACCTGAGCAAAGAATGTTTACCTCTGAAGGTTATTGTGAGCATTAAGTCTGGTAATCTACATAAAGTGCCTAACACAATGCCTGGTACACGCTTATACGTGTTTAATTAGTGGTAGCTATTATTTTTATTCGTACATGGTAAAGTATGAATTCCTAGGCACCCAGGGATGAAATTTGGACATGACACATAGTTGGAAGGTCTTTGGAGGAATAAAGGGCACACTGGCAGAGATAAACTGCAAGATTTCAACTTTTTAGAGAATTCTCCCAGTCCCCACAATATGTATGTTCAACACTGGGTTGGACAAAGCAACCTCTTTACTGAGGTTCTTAATATTCTCCTCTCCCCTATCTTGCCTCATAGACTGGGCTAATAATCTACACAAATGGCCTGGATGTGGGCTCTTGGACGCAGCCAGCCAGTTAGCCATTCACCCCGCGCAAAGCTAGGTTATCTTCTTCGCTGCCGTAGCCTCAACTCCTAGCATAGCGCCTGGCACACAGTAGGCGTCCATTTATTGAACGACCGCGTGATAATACCACCCGGGCTTCCCCTTCAGCCCGCAAGCCCCTCACTCCTTCCGCGCCTCTGCGCGAGTAGGCCGGCAAGGCCCCGGGGAGCCCGGCGCGCGCCCGGCCTAGTTCGAGGACTCGGCTGGCTGCGCGAGGCTGCGGTTGCTACGGAAACGGTGGGAAATAACAACTCGGTCCCCCACGGGGGAGGGAGGCCCGCGGAGGTAACGGCAGCGGGAGGAACGGCGCTAGCGCCGCGCTGCCGCCGCCCCGCCCCGCGCCTGCCCCGCCCGCCGGCGCCCGAGCCGCCACTGCCCCCGCCGGCCCGCGGGTGTCGGTAGGTACGACAGCGGCGGGCGCCTCCCCGGGGACCCCGCGACTGCCGGGATCCCCCGGGACTGTGTTGCGCGCCGCTGCCGGGTGTGGTCAGATGGTGCCCACCCGAGCTTCGCCACCTGGCGGCGCCGGCCATCGGGGAGGGGGCGAGGGGTCCTGGACACCCAACTCCAGCCGGGAACTTCATTGCTTTTAATTTGGGAGCAAGCAGGAGATTGAGGGGTAAGGGTGCAAGAAGACAGAAAATAAAATAAAGCTGTTTGGAAAGAGTAGCGCAGGTGGGATGTTAGAAATTGGGTTTCACCATATTTAGAGTGTGAGTGTGTGAGTGTGTGAGTGTGAGTGTGTTCTCCCGTCTCTCTCCCTTCTCCCTCACTCAGTTTGCCTCGCGCGGTGGTGCACTTGGATTTTGCGGGTGGCGGGTGAAGCAGGTGTCGCGCGCGCACTGCGAGCGCTGATTGGTTGCGCGGACCGCGGTGAAGTACTTGAACCTCTGCCGTGAGTCCTGCCCCCTGTAGTGTCTCCGCGGGGTGGACGCCGAGCGCACGGCCGGCCGTTCCTTCTCTTCTACCAGTGGGTCTGTTAGCTTCTCATTCGTTTCAGGAGGCGACCCGGCGCGGTGCGTGCGGTGAGGCCGCTGGGGTAGCGGAGGTGCCTCCCCCAGAGAAGCCAGCTGGGGCAGCGTCCCGCGGGGAAGATGAGCGGCACCAGCGCCAGGTCCAACCACCTGTCGCAGCCGGTCGTCAAGAGCGTGCTGGTGTACCGCAACGGGGACCCCTTCTTCGCTGGGCGCCGCGTCGTCTTCCAGGAGAAGAAGGTGTCCAGCTTCGACGTCTTCCTGAAGGAGGTGACAGGCGGCGTTCAGGCGCCCTTTGGGGCGGTCAGGAACATCTACACTCCCAGGACTGGCCACCGCATCCGGAAGCTAGACCAGATCCAGAGCGGGGGCAACTACGTGGCGGGAGGCCAGGAAGCCTTCAAGAAACTCAAGTGAGTGGGTCTGCCCCCTGCGCCCGTCACGCCAGGGCGCACTGCGGCGCGTGGTTGCTGTGAGGAAATTCAGGACCCCTGGCCTACCCACGTCTCGGTGGGCCGAGGGGCTGTGACTTGGAGGTGTGATGCCTCTCAAACTCCGGTTGCACTTGGGAACAGAGGTTGACACTGTGACTGGAGAAGGAATTTCACCTGGGTAACAGTAGGAACAAACTCAAAATTTGCGTGTAAACAACAGAAATCTTTTTAAAAGTATCCTTGCAAGGTTAGTGGCCAAACCGATACTTTTGCATTTTCTGTTTGGCTTTTTTTTTTCTTTCCTCTCCGCTCCCCCTCCTGCCCACCCTTTACTTTTTTCTTGGAAACTCATCCTTTTAGTTTAAATGAGGATTTCTTAAAAATCACTTCCAAGTTTTGAACACCATATTGTCACCAGAGGGGAAATTGGCCCTGCGTTCCCCTGTCCCGCCACTGTTAAATTTCTTTCAATCTTTCATTCCAAGTGAATTGACAGCACCCATTTTTGCAACCCTCCTTCCACCCCCTGCATGTTTATGCTATTAGCATAATGCTTGGAGAAGTTTATTGGCTGCCTGTATTTGTCTACATGACTGTCGCCAGCAACATGATGGTTAGACCTTCAAGGACAGGGGTCCTTAACCCCAGCTCCTGGAGCCCAGCCTACTCACAGTAGATGTTCCATGACCTAGCAAACTGGGCTTAGGTCTGTGAAGAGAACAAAGATGAACAAGACATGATCCTTGTCTTTAGGATCTTCCAATCTAACAGGAGAAAGACTATGTGAACATCAATAATCTTAAGACAAAGTACAAAGGGATATGTGCAATTAGAGACATAATCAAAGTTATGTGGGAGGTGAGTGTTTGTGGGGGTGGACATTATATGACAGGTAGAACTTTATATTCCATAGTTGTTTTTTTTTTACAACTTTATTGAGATACATTTCACATAACATCAATTCTACCCATTTTTAATGATTTTCAATATATTCACAGAATTGTGCAGGCATCACCACAAACTGATTTCAGAACATTTCCGTCACCCCCCCCCCAAATCCTGTACCTCCCAGTTTCCCCTTCCCTTATCATCTGGTAACCACTAATCTATTGTCTCTATGAATTTGTTTATTCTGGACATTTCATATAAATGGAATCATACAATTTGTGGCTTTTTGTCTTAGGGTTATTTCACTTACTGTTGTGTTTTCAAGGTTCATCCAAGTAGCATGCGTCAGTGCTTCATTCTTTTTATTATCGAATAATATTCCATGATATACCACATTTTGCTTATCCATTAACAGTTGATGAATATTTGGGTTGTTTACCTTTTTGGCTATTATGAATAATGCTTCTATGAATATTTGTGTTCAAGTTTTCATTTCTCTTGGGTATATACTTAGGAGTGAAATTGCTGCATTATATATTCCATAGTTTAATAGAACATTTTAATTGAAATTCTTCTTGGTCTCCACGATAGCAAAAAAAAAAAATCTTTACCATAATCTAAGCTTGTGAATTCACAAGCATAATTGAATTATTAATAATTTAAATTCAAACCAGCTTTTAACTGTGCAGAAGTAATTTTCAAAGTTATCATTAAAGTTCTTTAACATCATCCTTCTTCTCCTAAGTGTGTTTAAATTGAGTTTTGGGTGTTCTGCTTTTTGTTATGTCCCTTCTATGGAAGGTGAGGGATACATTTGGATTTGTTTTTCCCTTCCCTGAAACCTTCCTTATGTATGTTTTGTTTAACTTCATAGAAAAGAGCTAAATGAAACTCTGTTCAAAAGAAATTTAGAACTTAAAACCAGCAGATGATTTGAGCCGTTTATAAGTTCTGTGTCTTTGGGCAATTTACTTGACTCACCTAGTCAGTTTCCTAATATAGAACCATTCCTACCTCGCAGGGTTTTTGTAAAATGTAAATGCTTATAGATGTGAATGTGTAAACACCAAAGTGTTACATAAATATAAGGCATTTCTACAACCAGTTTCTTTTATTATATAATTTGTTTATTTTTTGTTAAGTAATTTCTACATATTATAAAAGAATTTCATAGGAATGAAAATCTGGTTCAGAATCTGTGTGGAGCTGAAAACTATAGACTCACTTTAGTAATGCATGTTCTCTTTTGTTTATTTGGCCCTACCAACTCACAAGATAAAAAAAGATACAGTTGCAAACCAAATAGAAAGTGCACTTCAAGTCACTCTTTATAAATAAGGGATTTGCATGGTTATTTTTGCTTTTAATTCATACACGAAAAAACCCCTGAGTTTGTTATTACAGTGTCCATGGTTAGTTTTTCATGTTGACAAATGACTAAATTATTTTATTTGTGTCAAAGTAGTAGTACCTATGGTTATAATGATAGAAACCAAGAATATTTAAATGCTGAATATATTTGCAGCTAAGGGCTTGTAAGTTTCTATAACAAATGAAGCAACTCACAGAACAAAAGAAAGCACAAAAGGTATTGAAGATAATTCATGGGCTTTCACTTAGAACCTAAATGATGTTGGGAAAGATAGCAAAATATTTTTCAAATGGAACTGATAAGATTCCTGCTTGAATTGCTTTCACTTAGATTTTTCTAATATGTTTGAATTGATAACTAAACTGCAGGTAACTATTAAACCTTAATTTTATAGCAGAGAATTCTGGAGATTATTTTACCCCCAAACTTTCCCTGTGCATTTTTGGATGTTGACTCTACTACATTAATATTGTAAATCTGAAATCACTTTCTTGCACATGACAGTTACAATATTTTGGTATTAAGTAAAAAATCAGATTCCTGCAGATTCACAGAAAACCCTTTCTTACTAAGACAGAGGGAGTGTTTGCATTATCTTATGTAACTACGGTTTATATAGGGGAAATACATGATAATTTCCAAAAGTATCAATTAACTAAAGTATTCTATAAAAAAACAACAATAAAAACATTTCAATAGCCAAAATTAACTGTAATGTCAACTTTTTTTTTTTTTTTTGCAACTTAGCAATTATAGTAGTTGAGGTAAAGGATCTATCTATTATCATAAATTAAATGCTAAGTTTTTACTTTTTTATACTAAAATGTTTATCTAGCACCTTCTATGTATGAAGCACAGTTTAGGGATCACTTAAAACTGTAACCAAATCACAGTGATGGACTTATAACCTGAAGTTGACAAAGGTATAAAGTTTTCAGGTTATGCTTATGCAACAGCTAAAGAATGATCATTGCTAGTTAATATCTATAGCAAATACTAATGGAATGATAGGCATCTCCAGAGGTTAACTAATCCACCCATCTGTCTATTAGCTGAACCAATACCTAAACCATCCCACATGGCTGAGCATTTCTGTATCATTCAAGTGCTCTCTTAGAGAAAATGATTTCCTAGCTTTTCCCACTTGTTATTCTACTGCCAATACTTCCTTTACTCTAAAGTCTGTGATGCATGGAACTCTTAAGAAGTAACCACTCTTTTAATCAAATTCATATAAGAATTAGAAATACAACATAGAAAGTAAGTAGCTAACTATTAAGAAGAGAAATTAATTTCCTAATAAAAATACCTATTTCTAAGACTTCTGTTCCCTTAAAGTTTAGGGTAGATAGGTGTCAGCTCTGGTTGACACCACTGCAAACAGTTCTTGCTACTATCATTGCTTTTAATTGGTAGCTATTGATTTTTTGCTTTCAAATTAAGTATTTCCTTTGACTTGCTTTACTTTTTAATAATCTTTAAAAAGGAATTTGCTAACTTAAAACCTGTAAAAGCAATCCTTATTGGTTTTTTTTTTTTTTTTCTTCAGTTACTTGGACATAGGAGAAATCAAGAAAAGACCAATGGACGTTGTTAATACAGAGGTAATGCAAATACTAGTTTGAAGGTTCAAATAAATAACAGTGCGCTTTTTTTTGTTTGTTTGTTTCTTATGATGTGTCTTAGAGATTTGGGCAGCATTTTACTTATAACGGATGAATTCTCTAATGTATATAAATAGGACATTATATGTTTTAAGGCAAAGATAATCCTTTCTTTGGATCATTGTCAGAAATGAAGAGACTGAGTCCTCCCCACTCCCACCACCTGTGGAAAAATTGTCTTCCATGAAAGTTAGGAATGGGGTGGTAGGCGAGTGAGCAAAGCTTCATCTGTGTTTGTAGCCGCTCCCCTCACTCGCATAACCACCTGAGTTCCATCCGCTGGGAAAAATTGTCTTCCATGAAACCGGTCCCTGGTGCCAAAAAGGTTGGAAACTGCTGTCTAAGATATGTAGGATTAGACACAACATGTTCTTATTTTCTCATTTTCTAGCTACACGTTCTTTGGTTGAAATCCATGAGAATGTTCCCTGTCGGCTTAGAAGAATCTGATCATTGTTATATAAATCTTTACCAAAACTATACCCTCCATCCTCATTTGCCTCTGACAGCTCAGTGTTTGAAATTGCCAGGATCATCCTGACTGCCCCTGAGGCTTTCAAAGGAGATGAATAAATGCCATGTTGGACTTTCTATGACATCAGGAAAAACCTCCATTTTAACTTGTATCAAAATTTACTTGAGCATAAACCAAAAGCTTGCATGAAGACTGAAGATGAGTCTTGTGAAAATAGATATTCAGACCACCACATTCCACATAGCTTCTGAAACCCAAGTGGAATTTTCAAGTATTCTGTAGGATATCTTCCTTAGTTTGTAGATGAAAAGATAGATTAAAAACAAAGTTGAGGCAACAGCCTTAAATGTCCAGTGAATCAGGGGAAATTGTAGTTAGACCTAGACTGGGACTCTGTTCACCACCCCAGGCTTCCCTTCTTTCCCTTTGGACTGCACCTAAACAAGTGCTTCCAATGGGTGAGCTGTATCAGTGAAAACATGGCTCACAGAAAAAGTAGCTTTTCTCACTTATAGTCCAGAACCCCAGAGAGACCTTCCTGAACTCTCATCATTTTCTCTCACTTTGTGTTTGCCCAACAGAAGCAAATAGGTCTTTCTAGGAAAAAAAACTCTCAAAAGAAAAATTCTATTATGTGGTGAATTACACTTAAAGAAAAACAAAGAAAAAATTCTAATTGTTCAGTATTTAAAGAATATGAGGTTAAATTCATTATTCAAATAATCTGTTGAAAGGGGTGCTCTTCCAACACCTTTTTTAAAATTTTTTGAGACAGAGTCTCACTGTGTTGCCTGGGCTAGAGTGCCGTGGCATCAGCCTAGCTCACAGCAACCTCAAACTCCTGGGCTCAAGCAATCTTTCTGCCTCAGCCTCCCAAGTAGCTGGAACTACAGGCATGCACCACCATGCCTGGCTAAGTTTTTCTATATATTTTTAGTTGGAAAATTAATTTCTTTCTATTTTTAGTAGAGACAGGGTCTCACTCTTGCTCAGGCTGGTCTCGAACTAAACTCCTGAGCTCAAAGGATCCGCCTGCCTCCGCCTCCCAGAGTGCTAGGATTATAGACATGAGCCACCGCGCCCGGCCCCAAGACATTATTTAAAATAATTAGTATTTTTGTTTGTATTTTGGATTTTCAATGTATGCCAAATTGATTATTTATGAAAGTGATAGGCTTTATAGCTTAAAGTAGACAAAGATATACATTTTTCAGGTTGTGTTTATGTGACAGCTAAACAATGCCCACCAGTTGATATCTGTCATAAAGGATTAGTTCTGGTTATGATTCTGTTTGAAGGATACACACCTGTTTGAAGTATGCTACCTTGCATGAAATTGATGACAGAACCTGGATTTCTGCAATAGAATTTGATATGTGTGAATTCCTAAAAACTATGTGCATAGTATATTTACTCTGGATTCCAGTGTCTTTGATGAAGACATTGTCCTTGGTACACTGCAACAGGTGTGCAATAAATTTATTAAATATGCTTTTTTTTTTTCTTAAGAGATTGTCTTTAACAACAGAAGCATTCACAAGGGTTCTAGTTCATTTAATTTGCTAATTGTGTTTCCACTTTGGGGACAGTAACCATCGTTTTCTCTTTGGGCCTATGCACAAGTCACATGCACAGGTTCTGATTTGTGAATGTGCATCTCACATGTGAGAAACCTACCCCTTACCTCCGAATAGAAGACTGCATCTCTTCTAGCCTGTGTCTGACTGGTGACCGTCTCCCCCTTACTCCTTTCCTCTTACTGTTTGCAGTAGACTCATTTATTCTCAGTCCTTCTCCACAAAGCTTTCCAAAGGGGACGAAAAGAAAGTAGAAGAATGTTTAGAATGCAAAGGAGATGGGAAGAGGCAATGAGATACTGCCTGCCATGCTCTTCCATGTGTCCCCCACCCCCCTCGCCCGACTTTCCCACTTGCTCCCTGGAGTCCTTTCTCCCACTCTGTCCTCCCAGCCTTTCCTCCCAGGCTGACCAAGCAGTGTGTTCACGTCCCTCACTTTACATGCTCAGTTTGGAAAGACCCTTCTCCCCAAAATGCACACCATGGCCTTCACCCTGAAGCCTGCTTTATGCAAGTGAAGCCCCTACTTTCATTGCCAGAAGGGAGTTTTTTGGGTTCCTGGCATTCCCAAAGGGAACTCTAAAAGGATTGTCTCATGGAAATGTCACCTTGACTGTGAGTTCTACGGTATTATTATTGCTGGTTTAGGTAGAGCACAGTGGAAAAGGCTTTTTGTAGGCTGCACTGAGAACCTGACTATTGTGAGTATAATTCTTACTATGGGGAACTACCTCTCTCTTTTCCACAACTGGTTTACAATCAAACCTTTGGAATTCAACAAGTTTATAAGTTGGAGGACTATCTATGCTCAAAATTTGAGAACAGACTTGGTAGACACCAGCTTTTGACAAATATTATAGATTCTAATTTCTTGGTCGAAGGTGGTGACTTCCTTTCAGCACTAGTGTTTACTGAGAAAAGATTGCTTACCTCGTTAAGTGCTCTTGGTGACTGGCATTCTTTGGAATATAATTGTATATAAGGGAGGACATCAGAGAATAGAGAATTATTTTTGAAGTGGATTTAGAACATGAATATATCATATTGGAAATTTAGAGTTATTTCAAGGGGAAGTTTCAGTACTATAGTAGCACACAAAAAAATGTCAGAGATGTGTCATGAAAGGCGAGTAAAATTACTTATTCACCAAAATTTGGGGCATTTCCCTCAAATTGGAGGTGATTTCATACATTTTGAGTTTTCAATGATGCATAATAAAAGCCACGACACCAGTATACACAATTCAAACTCCTGCCTCAGCCTCCGGGTAGCTGGGACTACAGGCTTACACTGTGACAATGCCCAGCTGAGTTTTTTTTTTTTTTTTTTTCCGTTCCTTTTTGGTAGAGACGGGGTCTCACTCTTGCTCTGGCTAGTCTGGAACTGCTGAGCTCAAGTGATCTTCCTGCCTCAGCCTCCCAGATTATAGGTGTGAGCCACCACACCTGGCCTAAATTTCTTAAATGGTTATTTAGAATGCCGTAAATAAGTAGAAGCTGTTTTACTGTGTAAGAGGCCTTGGTACACATTATGCACAGAGGAGAAGGATAGGCAGCTTGACTTCAGAGCACTTCTGATTTGCTGGGAGCTGTGCTAGGTACTGGGCATAAAATGAACACTTCCCTGCTCTTGCTCCTTAGGAGTTCAGAGTCTAGGCAAGGAGACAGGGGAGTAACCAACTATGATTACCCAGTGGCATTTGAGCTGGGCTAGAGGTGCTCACAGACTGAGAAAATGCAGGTGGGATTAAGGTTGTGGATCAGCCAGTTTGAAATGTTTTAAAATATAATAGAATCTTTTATTTTTGGCTCATTTCTCTTAGATTAAGGTTTTGAGAATGTCCCTTTCTACAGTTTGATTAAGAGGGTATTATTTAATACTTCTATCTGTGAAACTGTCAAATCTTGTTTCTGGCAGAAACAGTGAACATCAGCTTGGATGAAAAAGAGAAAAAGGCCGCCTTGCTATTAAATAGACACATATAAAGCCAGCAGCAAAGTTAACAGGAAACACTGTTTCTCCCATAATCACACAGCCCCTGTAAAATGCCATAAGGGCCTCCTCTTTGAGTGATTATTGCTTTCTTATGTCTAATGCTCTCAGACTTGCTTTGCTATTCTTATCTTTAGCTGGGATCTTTTTTCTTTTATTAATTTTTTATTTTTTCATATTATGGGGGTACAAATATTGTTAGGGTTACACATATTGCCCCTGCCATTCTTCTCCATGCCCCCCCGCCCCCGCACCTTACCAAAACATCAAGCATGTCCTACTCTCAGTCTTTTTTTCTTTTTTCTTTTTATTTTTTTTTCAGACAGGGTCTGTCTGTTGCCTGGCTTGGAGTGCAATGGCATCATCATAGCTCACTGCAAGGCCTCAAACTCCTGGCCTCAAGTGATCCTCCTGCCTAGGCCTCCCTAAGTGCTAGGATTACAGGTGTGAGCCACTGTGCCTGGCTGTACTGGGATCTTTAATTTTTTATTTACTTTTTTAATATAGAGTCTTGCTCTGTTACTCTTGATGTAATGCAGTGGTATCGTCATAGCTCACTGCAAACTCAAACTCCTAGGCTCAAATGATCTTCCTGCTTCAGCCTCCCAAATAACTGGGACTGCAGGCATGTAACACAATGCCTGGCTAACTTTTCTATTTTTGGTAGAGACAGGTTCTCACTCTTGCTTAGACTGGTCTTGAACTCCTGAGCTCAAAGCAATTCTCCTACCTTGGCCTCCCAGAGTGCTAGAATTACAGGTGTGAGCCATCTCACCCGGCCTGGGATCTTTAATTGTGAAACTGGCTTCACCTCATAACAACTCCTGGTTAACATATGCATCAGAATTATCTATTAGATTTTAATCTCTAGGAGGTCTGCTGATTCCATATAGTAC